AGCGTCGGGGGACAGATTCGTTGTCAGCTCAGGTAATGTGTGACTTCGTGTCACCGATCAGTTACGTAGTGTGAACGCCACGATTGTGGCCAAGTTGTGTTGTCTGAACAGCACGGCCATCGTCTGACGCTGAAAGTCGTGTAGTCTGAATGAGCCTTTAAAGAGACAGAACACAGCAAGATACAAAGAACAAGAGAGGGTCCAAACCTGGGGCCCTCACAAGAAAACAGATCCTTTTCTGTTTAAGAAGTTTCCTGACTTGTTGGTGGAGAGCCACAAGGCTGAACTGACCAGTCTGAAAAATATAACTTTTTGCGCAAACCCAGGCTAGAAGCCCTCTTTTATGTTTTAATCTTTAAAAAAAAAATAATTTTTTACTGCACTTGAAAGAAGAATGTTAACACAAGATTTGTGCACAAATCAAATTATACTGCAACATGTCAGTTAGCTGTCAGTTAAGTGTTAGTTTAGGATAACTGTTCGATAGCCATTTAGCTAAAATGCTACCTCACAAAATGTCACGCTTCCTGTAACATTAATGCAGTCTAACTAGGTAGGTCACCAACCAGCACACAGAGAAATGGCACCACAGGTAGGCCCTCTCTAAGTTTTTTTCAATAAAGTATAGCTTTGCTAACGTGAATGCGAGCTAACATTATTATTATTAAGTTGAGGTATATTTAACTAATGCTGCTTAAAAGAAAGTGGCTTGAGAACTTGAAAACGGTTAAAATTGAAGAGCATGTTCAATTTATTATTTATTAATTGCACTTAGATTATTAATATTTTATTTGTGTGTGCCTATGTGTCATTGCTGTTCAAAGCGATTTCGATTACTTCAAAAGGTTTTTGTTTAGAGCTCTAAGCGTCATTCTAAACAACCATAATGAATAATAATTCATGTAGAACAACTTGTCTTAACAGGTATCTTAATAAAGCACTGCAATTCATTTACTATTAGTATTCATGATTGGAAATTGGATTTTCAGATCAGATAATTACAGAAATTAGGAGACTGTCCGACAGCACAGTACAGGCACTTGAAATGTATCCCCCATGTGATGACACAAGAGGTCGTCATAAACCATCCAGTATGTTTGCGCAGTAACCTGGTTTTGGAGTGGGGGAGTCAGTAAACAGGTAAAATGCTACAAATAGAATCTAGCCACTTAAGAATATAGTCTTGAGGGAAGGCAGCCTGCTCCCTGGTCTGCGTCAGCACTGACCTTTTTGCTGTTTGCTAAAGGGATTTGATTTCACCTCTAACTCTCTCACTTTCCCTTTTTTCAACATTCACACTTGAGCTACCTGAGCAGTATAAAATGGCAGTTTTGTCCATGCAGGAGAAGCTGTGGTAGTTCAGCCATGAGCCAAGTGATATCACACCAACGATAAGCTGATTCCAGCAAAGAAATGTTTGGCATTTTTAAGCAAGGTGGTTGGAGGTTTTTGCATTGTGCCAAACACCACTATAATATTACATACTTGCAAATATACTTGCATTTCCACATACATTTCACAGGGAGGTCAGGGCCAGCACAAAATAGTGATTGGGTGCCTTGCAGAAGGAAAGTTCAACAGATACTTGTTACAAGTTCTCAAACCACTGAAAAATGTATCTGTTTATTACTACCTCCTGCTGTGAACCATTGCTAAAACCTATTTGCAGTCATTCCCCCACTGGTTGCTTACAAACTATGAATATCTTTCCATGTAAGTTGGACATTGACTGAACATTTCTTTCTACTATTCATCTTGAAATGGGAAATGTTTAGAACTTGTGAACCTACAGCGCCCTCTGCTGGCCTTACAGGGGCAGACTAATAGGGCTCAACAAGAATGAAAACTGAATGCAGACTTCAGCTCATCTCTCTATTGCCTTTTACAGAGCTGGTAAAAAAAACAATATGCACTGCTCCATTTAACACCACTTTCTAAACAAGGCAGAACAAATAGTAGTTTTCTTTTGTGGTCTTTGTGGCTTGGAGATGATCTCATATTAGACTAGAAGAGGTTTCTGCAGGTTAAACATCAGCCATGTTTTCTTCCACTACTGTACAACTCAGTTCTGTCCATTAGTCTCTATATTTCATGGCACACTATATTTCTTATTAAATATTAAATGGTTCAGCAGTTTTGAAATAGGCCTCGGGACAAAGACATCTGGTCAAACAGCTGGGCAGCCTGGATTTTAAAGATGCATGAGATGGTTTGCTACATTCCCATTTTTTTAGGATCACTCTATGCATATGACTGTGGTTCAGTTTAGTTGATCATCATATGATGCAGGTTTAAACTATGTCGTGATTCTTCTGCCAAAGAAACAGGGGCATAGACAAAATCACTAAAGAAAGTCACGTGAAGCATTAAGTCAGCAGGGAGTTTTCACCGCTCCAAAGTAAAGTAAGCGTCACGGACTGAGGAAAGCAACACTCTAAATTTTGAGCCAAGCAAATACTACTACAAATAATAATAATAACTTTTATTTGTTAGTATTCCCAAAGTGCTTTATAGTATACCATTAAAAACACAATAGAAACAAAAATACAGAAAAGATAAAGTTATAAAATAGAATAAAGATTAAATAAAAAGGCAGCAAAATTAAAGTAGTAAAAATTACAGTAGAAGGAGATAATGATGTACTACATTAACTAAATACTTGCCTGAACAAGTAGGTCTTCTCTCTCTCAGACACACACACACACACACACACACACAAAGCCAATCCTCTGTAAGGTATACAAAGAGACTGGAAACTGAACAATCAATCAAAGTAAATATGCAGGGATGTGACTGTTGACACTGGAAAATAATTGTTGTGGTTATGCCCCATTAAATTACTGTCTTTGTTTGCTTTCACAGATGTGTCATAATTAAGTAATTTAATTTGGGGTGTTGCTATCACTAGTTTAACACTGAAGTAAAGCTCAGAACTACAAAATACAGCATTTTAATAATGAAATTATTCTGTAGTATTTAAGGGACGTTTTAGATAAACCATTCAAAACTAAGAAACAATAATATAGACTATTAGAGTATCATAAACTAAGCAAAGCTAAGGCTATGGTCTTACTAAGCTTAAATACATACAGTATGTTGCAGGCAATGAAAAGCTAAACAAAGCTAAAAATAAAGTGAGAGTTGGGAAGATAAGCCAGGGAAGCAGTGAGCAACAACAACAACAACAACTTGTTTGTTAACATAGCCACCTTTTTTGGATAAAAAAAATCTATGGCACACAAGGGGTGTGGAAAAAGTAACACGTGGCTTCTGGCTAAGGATTACTACCTACAGAAGAACCGAGCAGTTTCCTGTTGATACTTCCTTGCACCTCGAAGTATAATAGCACAGTCGTGACATGACATACTGCATATTGGAACCATTTTATAAAAAGTAGAATTCACATTATTTCCTGGGTTATTACTTTTCTACAAACCAGTTTAAAAAAGCTTTAAAAAAAGCTGGGTGCTTTCCGGGTGCTGGATGTGATGTTCCCCCAGCCTCACCTGCTGACTCCTGTCAGTCTGATCCACTGATAGGTGGAGGCCGGCACAGTGAGCTGGGTGGGTTTGGTGCTGAGGATGTCCGGGATGATGGTGTTGAACGCTGAGCTGAAGTCCACGAACAGGATCCTTGCATGTGTCCCTGGAGAGTTGAGGTATTGCAGGATGTAAAGTGCAATGTATACATCTGCGTCAAATTGACGGAGTAGCCTCAGCGTAGCCCCCTGCAGTCCCAAGTTGACTCGTAGGTCCATCTTTTCACACTCTTTACAACAGGGCGTTCCTTAATGTAGCGTAGCAGTGGTCCAGTGTGTTAGTGTCCCTGCTGGGACAATTACCATGCTGTCTGTACTTTGGGAGTTCATGGCTGAGGTTTGCTCTGTTGAAGTCACTGAGACTGAGACACTGAGAACTGTTTTTTCTCCACGTTAGTTATCTGGTCGGCCAGGTGTAGTAACGCCTAACTAACACAAGCCTGAACAGGGGCGGACTGGGACAAAAATTCAGCCCTGGCACTGTAGCCACGCCAGCCCACTTTACCACGTATCCCCACGAACACACATTCACTACTTAGGCTATATTTGTTTACAGATGGTGAAATAATATACGCAGTAGGCCTACTGTATGCAACAGCAAGTGCGTCACTTTGTGTTGAAAACAGCTGGTGACATAAGGTCTGAACATAGGTGTGATGAAAGACTTCGGTCACGAGAACAAGACGAGAAGATATTTTAACACTATTTTGAATAAGTATTTGATGATAAAATGTATGAGTGGGGGGTCTGGGGGTCCTCCCCCAGAAGATTGTGAGCATTAAACACTTCTGGAGACATTTTCTGCACCAATTTATGGAGTAAATATCTTTATTTATATGAATGGCAGCACAAAATTCAGCAGGTGACAACTCAAAATATAACAATAAAATGGAATATAATGCAGTAAATTCAGTAGCTTTTTTTGTTGTAGTAGTAATTTTCTTGGAAAATGCACATTTGTTTCTTCTATATTTAAATTGCATTGCATGTTTTCTTATTGTGAAAATAAACAAAGCATTTTCATTTGTGTCCAGGGCTTTCTGGCTGTACCGATTCCAGCAACATCCATGAGCACAGTAGCCTATAAAACATTGCATGTTTTCTCACACACTGCTCTCAACATTGGAATACACATGAATAAAAATATTACTGTGCTATAGCCTACTTTGAGATAAATGCCCCAACTCTAAGAAAATGTAGCATAAGAGTGCCAATAAAATCCCCACAAACTGAAAACAATTCATGTTTACTTGTGTCCACTTTTATTTAAAGATCCGTCCTTTCCCCCTGTGAGTGTCCTTTGTAATCTATGTTGCTCTGAATACAGAGGAAAGTTAGTGTCCAAGGCTTTCAAGGTGTTTCCTTTGCTGGCACAATGCATGTGAGCATGTGGTGCCATTGTGAACTGAACATGAGCTCTTCACTGCTACCCATAATGCACTGTGGAAAAGGTAACACCCATTCTGTTTACTTGGAGAAAGCCAGAGACGGAAAACTACCAGCCTGAAGAGAGGAGAGGAAACAAATCCACTGCCAAAAAAACAGAAAAGAAGAGAGTTGGTGCCGATTGTCCTCGTTAGACGTGAGCCAGTTGTTTTTTTCCCCAGTAAACGTGGATTTTTATAGATACTTTGGACACTTTGGAGTTTGTTTCTCTACCTTTTGGCATTAACAAGGTGTGAGTGAGAAAAGTGGGACGGTCAAAGTAATGGGAAGAGCTGCAGTGTTCTCCATGTATGGACTCCAACTCTGTTCATATGGTAAATAGAGGGTTACATGGAGCAGTAGTCTTGGAGCAGTGGGGGGAAAAGGGAGGGAAAGGAACAAGGAGAGAGAGAGTGAAGAGATACACTACAGGACTTTGGCCTGCTTCATGTGCAGGAGGCAGGACTTTCACACTGAGTTTAGAGGATACTGGATCACACTACAAAGAGAGAGGAAACAAAAGAGTTGTAGTGAGTGCTATGCTGTGAATGAACTGAAGTCCTAGTTTTCTTCAATGGGGTTTTCCAGTCTTTCACTTGACTACCTTTGATTTTTCTTTCACTTCCCTGTGGGTCTGAAAGTTCACCTAGTGCCTTCCTGGCTGTCATCACCACTTCATACTTTTGTTTCCGGATAATTGAAAAGCCAAGATGCCCACCAACTTCACTGTGGTGCCAGTGGAGGATGCAGAGGATGGCGGCACTGGTACATCTGCAGCTGGAGGCAGCAAACCTGCCAGTTTGGGCAACATTTTTGGGGAGGAAGATGATGAGGACAACTTACAAGAACACCATTCAGGTAGGAATACGGAGCGGGACAAAGCCTCTTCTTTGGCTTGTAGACATGCTCTATTCATAAATGTAGGGAAGTCCGTTTTCAGTTCCCTCTTATTACTGTTAAGGTCATGAGGAGCCTTTACCAACATGCATTAGGTGTTAAAATGTCTAACTCTGATAAACTGTATGCGTCAGATACATGTTATGGCAGGCACATTCTGTACACACATACGTACAAACACACACACACACACACACACACACACACACAAACACAGTGTTTAAAATGTGAGGCTGTTTAACTAGCTAGAACTTGCAGGGAAGCTTGATGGTGTGGTAGGAAGGTGGGATTTAAGTCTGTGCAATCCTGGTTGATGGTTGGGGCTGTTTGCTTTATCATGGCTGCAGGCAGTGTTGGGAAGGTTGCTTTGGAAATGTAATGGCTTACAACTTAAGTTACCCTATTTAAAATGTAATAGAAGAGTAAGTATTTCAATTAATTAAAAGTAATGTAACTTCCTACATTTAATTATTTATTACTTTTCTAAATTTCTAATGATTTATTTTACTTGTTAACCATTTGCAAAAGACAGCTTGAGAGGCTATTTAAGTGTCAGACGGGTGGCGCTGCAAATTCAAACATTAATCAATCAAAAGCATCAGAACAGCATCAAACTTTCCTTAATGGCTGTGACTGGAAATAGCAAAAGGAAGACTTTGTGCACATGAAGAACATGCAAAGCAACAAAATGAATATTAGTCAACACATAGCAGAGCTTTTTACAGAAAATATTCAGATGGAACCAACAATGTAGGCTAATCGGGAACATATGCATATGTAACTGTAATTTAATTACACTTTTTTTCCCCCAAGGAACTGTAATGAATTACAGTTACATTTATTTTGTTATTAAATAATGTAACTGTAAATGTAAATTACATGTAACTAGTTACTCCCCAACACTGAGTGCAGGGATGTAAGTGTTTTGGCTGGCAAACTATGTGACACAGGTACCAAGGTAGAAATGTTAAAATATCTTAATTTCATACTTTTCAAGGCTGATTCTTTTACATTCAAACATTATTGCAATAGAACCTATTGTACATAACATCTAAAATGCATGTATGGTTTGTCAATTTTAACTTGGTTGCCTAAGAAAATAAATTTGAAGGTGTTTATCTACAAACTATCTTATATGAATTACACTTATCTCTGTTTTTCTACATGTCTATCTGTCTACAATTAATATTTATAATTAGAAGATAATGAGTTAATTAACAGTTCGATACATTTAAATATGTGCTACTTAAAGTTAGCACCTTGTGAGGCAACTTTTTACAAACACTGGTATCACTCAAACTTCTGATGAACCCTTGCAGATCTAATGGTTATTTTGTGCTATGGGACAGTGAAATAAAGGCTGTCCAAAAGCACCTTCTCTAGTACATTCATTCACTACTTCCTATATAACAAACACTCATTCTAATGAGCAGTAAATATACATTTCAGACAATAACGAATCATCGTCATTTTGCGATGACAAATGTAGATCATTTATAATATAATTTGTGGTGTTGAGTTGCAGTAATTCTTGTGTCTTTAATATAAAATGCAACACCTTTTGGGATTGTTGTCATTTTAGTTGACTTTTCCCCCTTCAATTGGGAGGAATTGGGAGGCACACTAGTAGCATTTAGACTTTAAAACCCCTGTTGTATACAGCTGGCGATGGTGGAAGGTGCTGAGCAGCTGAGGTGTAGACTCTGAGTTGGATGTGGACTGCTTCTCTCACTTCTCCTTATTCTTCTTCCTTTAACTGAGGAAGTGGCAAATTATTTTCCTGCCCCAAGTGCCTGTTTTTTTCTCTGGAAGCGAGACTTCAGGCTCCTCCTCCTGCTCCTCTAGCTGGGCTGGGTTTGACTGGCTTGACTGCCATCTTCCTCAGCCGTATGCATGGTGGCAAGCTTGAGGTTGGCTGTCGTCAGTTCCTTCAGTCTTGTTTTCAGGCCCTCCAACTCATGACGCAGGGCATCCTGCTAATCCCTCAGCCCCTGCATCAGCTCCTGATCCTCTCTCAACTTTTCAGCTTGAGATTTTTTTTTTCTGCCTCAATTTGTTGCTCTTTGTTGCTTCATACTCTTTATGGAGCTTGTTGGTCAGATACTCTCTACCCTTCTGTCACAAACCATCTCCAGTCAGAGCATGGGATAAAACATAAAATGACTGACAGGTTGAACACAGCCACACTGCCACACAAAATGTAGCTTTTGATTTACATTATTGATATTAAATGTACTAAAAACATAACGTAAATTGTTTTATAAACTTACAAGATGCTTATTGATCATTCAACTTCTTATCACTGCTGACTCATGATTTATCATTTTCTACAATCACCCTCTTCTGGCCTCCTGGTTCTGACAGAGTCCTGGTGCCACAGCATCACAGGTTTTGTGGGATCAACATTTTTTATACAGCCTATGGATCATTCTCCTTGATCTCTGGGGAGGACAGCAGAACATTCGAAGATGTGACAGCATATCAGACACTGACTGGGTGCCAACTACCCAGCTAAAAGCTAAAAACACTCCTAGTACAACGAATTTTGTAATTAGCTCATCAAACTAGCAGCTTTCACGCTGCCTTATTTCACGGGGGTATTGCGCCAATCTGCCGGCTTGCTGCACTTTATGAAAGGTATGGAGCATATTTTATCCACCTCTGAGCAGGGAAAGTTGGTGACCGAGACAGAAAGACGGAATATGACCAATATGACACCTACCAATAGTTAAGGGTCAGGATAGTACTAACAAATAAAGCATGAACGAGAGATGTAAAACTATGAGGAAGTGCAAAACATGGGAAGAGGTGTTATGGTTGGAAAATTCTTTGTGTTAGTCTGCTAGTGTTGGAAAACAAACCAGCCTCCAGTGGCAGCTGATATGGGTAGAACAGGGTCCGGCCCTTATTTATATACAGGATGTTTGTTGAGTATTTTGTATTTTGGGTGTTTGGAGTGTTTGGAGGCTCACCAGACAGTTTGAATGTCATTCAAAAAGCACACGCACAACAGATTTTACAGAAACAAATGCCAAAGGTGATATGTTTATTTCAGGCAACCCCTTTCACTTACACATAATCATTTAATTAATTATTAATACAAAAATACTGATTACCGCAGCTTTAATTTTAGTTAGTGCAGCTTTAAGGTTTAAAGTAACCATGTCCAGAAATTAGATTCAAGTAAGCAGTCCCGCCATTTTACAATGAATGAAATACTAGGATAGGAAAGAGGTAAGAAATGACAGATCCTACTATAGGTGTCATTTATACTGGCGACGCTGGGGACATGTTCCCACCACTTTTTGAAATGGCAGATGTTGTCCCCGTGACTTTTTGAAAGCATTTGTTAAAAATGTTCTAAAAAAAAACCTACAAGAAATGTTAATTGACAAATGAAAATGCTTTGTGAAAGGTTTATTTGCACAATAAGACAACCTGCAATGCAATGTAAATATAAAAGAAACATCTGCGTTGTCCAAAAAAAGTAATTTAAGCTAAGAAAATAAGAATAAGCCACCGATTACTGCATTATATTCTTTAAATAATTTAATGTTTCCTTCAATATAAATAAAGACATTTCCACCATAAATTGGTGCAGAAAATGTCTCCAGAATGCAAAAAACAAATATTTTTCTTAATAGTATGAAAACATATTCTTGTCTTGTTCTCGTGACTCCAATATCCTACTATTCAAGTGTTGACAAACAGTAAATCAGTATGTTCTGTGTTCAGGCAGTTTCAATATGAGTTTATAACCTGTAGGAATATTGCAGGCTAGACCTTTGGTTCCAGCAGTGAGGTGTTCCCATTTGTTGTAATTGCTGATAGATTTCAGCGTGTGCGTATGTGTGAAAAGTGTTTTACCCCACCACCCCCCACCCCCTTGAGTCTGCGTCATGCATTTTGGTCTGTGTTTACATTCCACCACTGGGCCAACGTGCAGAGCGCACAGTGTATGATACTGGGACCAGATACTGTGTGTGGAACAAACAAAACCAGGCTCCCTCCTCTTACTGGTATTTATGGTTGCTCATAGCTCTTTAATTTACTGATGCTTACAGTTATTGTCCATGGCGACTTCAACAAAGAAAATCTCAGCCATGAACTGACTAGCTACAGACAGTTTATTAAATGTCTGACCAGGGAGGAGAACATTCTGGATCACTGTTACACTACAGTAAGCAGTGGGGACAGGGACAGGTTTATGGAGTCAAAGTACAGGTTTAGAAAGGCGGTGCGAGAAGCTAAACGACTGTACTCAGAGACTACAATACCAGTTCCCTGCCAACAACAGCACTCCTGTCTGGAGAGGCTTCAGATAATGATAAAAAGTCCCCCAGCCCATTAACGACATGACTGGTCAACAAGCTGAACCAGTTTTACTGTCTCTTTGAAAGACAATGACACAGTCCCGACACCATCCCCCATGACTCCACCGATCAGCCCCACAGAGCCAACAGGTCTAGAGACAATGCAGTAAACATGGCCCTTCACCTCATCTTCCAGCACCTGGATTCCTCAGGAACCTATGCCAGGATCCTGTTTGTGGATTTTAGCTCCGCCTTCAAAACCATCATCCCGGCTCTGCCGCAGGACAAGCTCAGCATGCCTGACTCCACCTGCAGGTGGATCACAGACTTCCTTTCCAACAAGAGGAAGCATGTGAAGATGGGAAAACACGTCTCTGTCTCTCAGATTTCCTTTTCCCTCTGCTATTCACCCTGTACACCCACAGTTGCACCCCCAGCCACCAGTCCTTCCAGCTGGTACCAAGATGGTTTATTGACCATCTGGTGTCCTGGTGCAGCCAGAACAACCTGGAGCTCAGGTCTCTTACGACAATGGGGATGGTACTGGACTTCAGAACCCACCCCATCACCCTGTATGACTCTGCTTCCTGGGCACTATTATCACCCAGACACCTCATCTCCTCCATCACTATCTGGTACGCTGCTGCC